AGAGTTCTCTGATTACTGCTTGTATTTAACTTTCTCCGAACTAAATGGGTTTGTAATTTTTCTTCGAATTCGAAAGAGGTTCCATAACTGGTTTATTTAAGCATTCACTTAAGGACTATTCATGTGGATTGTCCTGAAACTGGAATGGTGACGTTTGAGCCTCTTTAAATTCCTTCATGGGACGGGGTGGTGTAGTATGTTGTGTCGCCGTTGAACTTGAACCCTCACATGCACCATGTTCCATGATTTCTAATCCTAGAATCGATGTTTCATCATCATTTGCCCTTTGCTGTCTGTATTTCTTTGGCCTTCCCCCTTTACTTTGGGTTTTAAATTGTACACATACCCAACAGTCATTGTCACACTGCTTAACCTCCCAAACATTATCAAATTCATCTCCTTTGATAGTATCCTGCATTTTCCTTTGTTTGTGAGTGAATGTCCTGTTGTAACAGGTCGCACAGAAAAACTGTGGGTCGTAACTATTGTCAGATAACACAACTATTTTTACCAAATGGTAAGTCTCCCGGCACATATCCGGCACAGTAATTCCAGTTTTTTAAAGTGATCTTCACATATTCTCTCCATTTTGAATACAAATTCCAACAAAAATAACACTTAAACTTGCTCCATTTAGAATACACAAAATACAGCTTCAAACTTGCACTGCAATACTACTAGAATCATCAACAAGAACCTTACACTCTCTGCTACAGTGTATGAATGAAACCTATGTTTGCGACAGATTCATGTGAAAACCGACCCTGCTTGAATAAACTCTGTTAATTTCATCTGACAGAGAAAAGTTGAGGCTTTCAGATAATTTAAACAGTTTTTCCCAGAAAACCCAGATAAGATAATTGTGACATGTTAATTAAAAAACAAGCCTTGTGGCAAGTCTAACTGGCAGCGCCCCAGTACATCCCAAGACAAAATTTCGATATTTCGATATTGAATCAAGAGCATCAGGCCGACTTCTCGTTTCTACCGCACGACAAGGTGAGGTGCAAAAGGTACAAGTATGCCTTGACCGTCATGGCTGTCGCCAGTCGCTACAAAGAAGCCGATCCGTTGATGACCAAAGATTCGACCGAGGTCGCCAAAGCACTCGAACGCATATACAAACACAGTCGCTTAACTTGGCCTGCCGAGCTGCAAGTGGACCCTAGACGCGAGTCATGAGACCCGTATCATAGCCGTTAGCCAAGCACAAAGTCGAGGCCAGACGGGGTAATTCGACTGAATGGGTCGCACGTTTACCTCGAGTTGTGACGGCTATAAACAACAAAATCACCAGACTCGTGGGCAAGAGACCAGTCGAAGCCATCAAAATGAAAATCCATCAGCGCCGATTCGTCCACACCAGCTCAAAAGAAAGAAACAGATAACGGACCAGGTCAGCGTAAGGTATTTGTACCAGTCGAGTGAACATGAGGGAGATAGCAGAAAATGTGCTATGAATCCTATATGGTCGCTAAGCACCTACAACATAGACAGGGTCGATATCCAAGACGGTGAACACAATCTGTATTATCTCAGCAACAGACCAGTCAGACCATTTGTCAAGGAAGAATTACAAGTCGTGACTCACGGCACCATGTAGCGACTCACTTATCGATCGCAGTACACCTGGAGAGATACAGCCATCTGTGTATAGATTAATTTAATTTAACATCCAGCTATCGGAGCCACGGTAGCTCAAGTCACAGGTGACTGAGATCGGTCTTACGTTGTAGAGCAGCACAACTCTACAGTGTGAATTTGTATACCAGTGAACCCTCTGTGGATGTCTTGCAACTTTTGGTTTATGCAGTGCACTGGGTATGTAGGCTAAACGTTGTTACAGGAACTTTTGACCGACCTGTATACCCAAGCCACGTGAGCAACAGGAGGTTATGTAGGCCAAACGTTCTTACAGGAACATTTGACCGAGCTAGATACCGTGCCATGTGAATTACCAAGATAAACAACTCCATAGCATCACTCCAAGTCAAGCGCTCTGTTCACAAAAGTAGGATTCGACCGCTGGACCAGCCGGCGAGATGGCATGCCATCATTCACACATAATTTTTAAGTCGCGCAGGGGATGGAGTTTGACAAATATAACGCTTGTAGGGGACCTGAGCCCATCCCCTATACTACTACTCCTGGTCGTAATAGGCTACCAAAGCGGGTATCCTGTTTGAAGTGGGTTGCGTCCCTTTTGAGGACTGGAGAGTTGTTTACAAGGAGCCAGAAAAAGGTGTTGATTTTGCCCGAATAAAACGTTAAAGTTGGTAAGCACAGTCAGTATCCTTTCTCAGCCTGACTTGAGTATCTATGATATAAAATTGCGTCGTGGTATTTCAGACCAGACGTCAGTATGAACGTCTGGAAGTATGTTGCCGTAGCTACGTGCAGTAATCTTGAGAGCGCCTTAATCATCAAGACAGCAAACATATATATTCAAGGCACAAGTTACCTGTGGAAGGTCCTGTGGAAGATCATTCAATATCTAAGGAAGGATTTGGCAGAGTTCCTGTTGCGTTGTTTGAGGATCTGGGATGCCATCGCGAAAGGTTGCTTCATTTCATCCCAGACATGTTCAGGGGATGACAATCCAGGATATCATGTCCGCCGTGTTGAAATTTTATACCAGGGCCGTCCTTTTTCAAAACTAAAGTCACGGAATAGACTCTAGAGTGGCATCAACATCACAACACAACATAGTATGAAGATTAAGAACATAAGTTTATTCAGAAACATATTACAACACACACACTTTCACACATGAAGCATCCATCTTCACACTCACTGTACACACCTTGCATAATCCCTACAGGTAAACACCATTCATTCACTCATCCTACAGTTTATGTCTCACACGACTCTCAAAACACACCTTCCCACATGTACAAGCAATCACTTTACATACCCACACTTCTACTGCGTAAACACACACACACACACACACACACAGAGGTTACTTAATATCATAATATACTAAGCTCTAATACCTTGACTTTTATCACACTGTTTTACTGTTTGCCCACATACATGAACCCTACTACTAATTACATGTACTTGTAACTCATTATTTACTGTGACAACAGACCATACCTGAAATACATGATTCGTACAACCATGATCACGATATATCCCTGTGCCAACACATAAATATTAAATAGACTGATTAAATGTTCAGTTCAAAGATGGTACTGTTCAATGTCCATTCATGTCGCACACATGAAGGTCAACACACGAGAGTCAGATGCATCGTCATCTCGGCCTCGTATAGATGCGTCCTCTCCAGGTCTGGTAAATACACTCAAATGTAAGGATGGGTATACTACTCAGGCGGCAACCAGCTCGATCATCCCAGGGTTACGACGTACTTCGACGTACGACGTCAACACACACAACCTGGCCAAGGTCAACACTCCCATGGGATACCGTCTACACCGTAACGAAGCGCCCTCTACTTCACAACGCCATCACGACGCAACACACACGCCCGTCACAGACCAGGCCTGCTCACGTAACGAAGCTCCCTCTACTTCATGACGCCATCACGACGCAACACACACGCCCGTAGCAGACCAGGCCTGCTCACGTAACGAAGCCCCCTGTACTTCACAATGCCATCACGACGCAACACACACGCCCGTCACAGACCAGGCCTGCTCACGTAACGAAGCTCCCTCTACTTCACGCCACCATCACGACGCAACACACACGCCCGTCACAGACCAGGCCTGCTCACGTAACGAAGCTCCCTCTACTTCACGACGCCATCACGACGCAACACACACGCCCGTAACAGACCAGGCCTGCTCACGTAACGAAGCCCCCTCTACTTCACAACGCCATCACGACGCAACATACAAGCCCGTCACAGACCAGGCCTGCTCACGTAACGAAGCTCCCTCTACTTCACAACGCCATCACGACGCAACACACTCGCCCGTCACAGACCAGGCCTGCTCACGTGACGAAGCTCCCTCTACTTCACAACGCCATCACGACGCAACACACACGCCCGTCTCAGACCAGGCCTGCTCACGTAACGAAGCTCCCTCTACTAAGTGGTCACGACTTTACACACACGCACACGCCGGTCAGTAGGCATTTGCTGTAACAATTGGATTGAATCATAAATACACATCACTACATTTCACTATATTCTATTGCTTACACGCCGAAACTATACTAATACATGAATACTTTTCAACATTTTTTATGGTTATATTACCAATTGACTATTGCAAAAAATTCCTTAAATTCACAACAAATAAATACTACGCTAGTTGTAATATAACGCTATCATTCACACATTAATGCAAATCATATAACTGATACAATTACAACAAATTATGCAATTCGCACAATTTCCACAAATACTCAGATTTCATACACAAACCCTACATTGCATTCGCATAAAAATATCATTCTCAAAATTGTACTCACGTTCACTGCAAAGAATGACAAAACTAAACATCCTATCAAATAATAGAAACCATTAACAGTACTCTACTACTTCTACATTACGCCTAAGTGACAATGAAATGTTACACAAATACAGAACCTAACAGCAATATTAATTCCATTGATAATAAAAAAATGTACATACGTCCAAGCGACCAAATATGACAAGGGAAAACACAGAATAGGTCCGATGTGCATGCTCTCCAAAATCGCTGTGCTCCAAGACTACAGCCTGACCAACCTATGTAGAACGCACACACGTGCTGCATGTTTTTCCTGCAAGCAAGCCCATGCTGGGAAAATATGTCAATTGTATGCTTATACACTTTAATGTATATCTATGTATTGGTGAACTAAGGAAAAAACACACATAAAAAACACGTGCATGTATGCATATGTTATTTGAAATTACCTGAGTTTGAAAATACAACGACTCAATAAACTGGTGTTTTGTGGTGAAAATAAATCGGTATAAGTGGATATGACTATTTTTACTCTTGATACTTGACTGTTACGTGTTTTCTTTTTGTCTGCAGCATACGCAGCCCTGTCACCATAATGTGGAAGTTGTTGGTATGTATTATATATCTAAAGGACTTTGGGTGAAGAAGGTGGTCAGGTGTTTTGGCTTCCGTGATAACCGCCTATTATGTAACCTATGGAAACTCTACTATGACGACATTTGTGTATTCTGTGTTATTGCTCACATGATGGTAGTTGCTGCTGATCCACTAAAGCCTCAGGCACCAGGGCGAAGCTAAAATGCTGTAGTTCTAAATCAAGGACCAACATTAACATTAGGCATGCTTGCACAGTAAGGCACAGTCTTATATATGATTGGGTGGTGACATAAGGCATGCTTGCACAGTAAGGCACGGTTTTATATATGATTGGGTGATGACATACTAAAGGCTGCTAATATAATAACATGAATATGTCCGACTAACATGCCTCATTACTTCATATTTGGAATCCATTGTTACCATTTTGCATCTGACACATTTAAACAGATATATACAGTACATAAAGTTTGTGTATGAACTTTGCGTTTGACTCATCTTCTTGCACTGCATTGTGGGTCGATTTACCGCATTTATAGCTAAATGTACTCTTAATTATTAGTAAGTTCAATTTGAAAGATGACCATCATAACATGCTTCGTTTTCTTCTGTTTAAGAAAGAAATCGTGAAAGAGGATGAAGGTGAATTCACTTTGGAAACCAATGACTTCTTTCGACCGAACCTGAAGCAGATTGGAAACAGTGTATTTGATATCAGGAATTACTATATCCCTGAAGGTATTACTTTTCTGAAAGGTTTATGCCAAACATATGTCATACAGATGCAATTTCCCAGTTTGATCAACACCATGCGATCCCATGTTGCACAAGTAAACACTTGCTGATACCAGTGTCACCAATAGGGTATGATATACCCATCATGTCGGTGTCATTGCTGTTTGATTCAAAAGCACATGCTCATGATATAGCCGGATTGTGCTTGTAATAATCCACATTTGGCAAATAAATAGGAAATAGACTCATGGTCGCACTACATATGCATTAAATCTGAGATCTTTTCCTACATATCATATACGCATGTTTGTATCCCCTTTGACGTTACCCAATACATATCATACATGCATAAGTAAAGAACGTTGTAAGTAAGATGATTAAGCATTTAAGTACAATCTATATATGATTGTGAAATGCATATGTGCGTATTCTTTCGAGATGAACTAAATCAACTTAAATTACCCTACTGTGAATTAAATATACTGAACCATGAAAGAAACGTCGCCTTTCAAAAGCAAATGCAAAATTGTGTTCTTACAAGGTGGTGCTTGCATTATGATTGTACCGTTTTGTTAACATGTTTTTCAATCCAAACTGACAGTTTATACCAACATCAGTGTGTTTTCTGATGAAAAAGCATATCGACCAAAAGCACCGAAAAAGTCAAACATGGTAAAAGGTTTCATATGACATTCCCAAACTCGCCTGAAATCATTTTTGTTTTGACACAATCACTTACGAGATATCAGAAGAACCAAGTCTTGGGACGATTGCAAGTTGTCAAGACTGCACGGAGGGTAGCAAACCATATTAATGTTCATGTTAGGACAATCTACAGACTGCAGGTGTGGTATCAAGTCACTAACAGCATCCAACACTGTCCACGCAGTGGGCGACCTTCAGTAACATCACAATGTCAAGACCGACAGATTCTGCGCAACCATCCGCAGGATCGCTTCCCCAGAGCGACGGAAACAGCACGCCAGAGCACTGGGAGTCACAACAGACCCATCAGTGCCGATACAGTGCATCGACGTTTGCGCGGAAGAAACCTCTGCTGTCACAGACCATACCGTAGTCCTGTCCTCACCGCTCATCACCGCCAAAACCGATGGGCAATGGACAACTCAGAGTGAAAATAGGCGTTATCGACAATGGAAAAGTGTGGTTGTATCTCATGAAAGCCGATACTGTGTGTCGGCAGTCGATGGCAGAGTGAGAGTACGGTGAAGGCGTGGGGAACTGTTTGCCAATGAGTGTATTGTTGAAAGAGACTCGTGGGATGGCCCAAACATCGTGGTATGGGGTGCAATCGCTCTGAACCAGTTAGTTGACTCCGTGGTGTTCCAGAATCTTGGTCCGGGATGAGATAATGGCGTGACAGATGTTCGGTATATTGATCAAGTGATAAGACCCCACGTTGTACGACATTTTGGTCGTTACAGAAATCACATCTTCTAGCAAGACAATGCTCGTGCCCACACACTGCCAGAGCAAAGTAGACTTCCTCAGACAACATGGCATCCAAACCCTTCAATCGCCTGCACTCACTCCAGATTAAGTCCCATAGAACACCTTTGGGACGAGATTCAAAGAAGACTGAATGACCTCCAACAAAGGCCGACAACTGCGGCTGGCCTCGATCAGGTATTTCGCACAGTATGGATCCAATTGCCTATGGCCTTCATCAACCGGCTAATTTATTCCATGTACAGACGATGCAACACTTTCATCGATGCCCATGGAGGTCACACACAATACTGACTTCGGGGTGTCTTAATGGTACCATTTGTGGTGATTTTGTTTGTGTGAATTCTAAATGTGATTCGTGAAAATGAGTTAAACAGAAATGTCAAGTTTGAACTTAATCCTCCGTTTTGATTGTTAATAAGAGTGAATTAAAATGTGTGCTTTAAAAAAACCCGCTATCGGTGCGACATATCTTTTGTGGTTCAGTGTATATGCCAACATGAATGTGTGATTAGTTTATTCCATAAGCAAAACTACATTCGTATTGGCTCTGGTGTATCTTAGCAGGTTAGGAACAAAATCAGTTTTAGCTTTAAGGTAACAGTTCTTCTGATCAACACTTTATGTGGGACTTGTACATGTAAATAGTTAGTATTCAAATGATATCATTTCAATACACAAAGTATCAAATTAATCAAGAGCTACAATACCATGAACTCTGTCATAAAATAACTCTGTTATAAAGGGTTTCCATTGTTTGATTCCCACTATATTAAGTTTCCAACAACAATATCGCATTAAACTGTATGGTTTCAGAAGGGGTCAACATTATTCCAACCAGCCTTGAAACACCATTGAAGGAAGTTAAAGAAAGACTCTTAGAACTTTTTGACCTCTGTGCTTTTAACTTGATTCGCCATGATTCAGCTAAAACCCCTGTCAGTGAAAATGCTGTTGAAGGAGGTTTTGCATTCATCTCTAAATCCCTGGCTCCCGTTTTGGATATCCCTACCTCGTCTCTGGCGAATCATATCAGATGTGATGTGTTCATCGCCCTACCGGGGCATTCTGTCCTACTTCTTACCCTGGTGGAAGGGGACTCCTTAACGGAAGCCTTGGAGTATAACATGTCAGTGGCAAGAGGAGTGACACGAACACTCAGTAGATTCATGGACGAATGTGTACACCCGGTACATGGAGTACTGCCCGTCTCAACATTATACGACAAAGTAACCTTTGAAGCTCACATAAACAAACTTGCAACACAGTCGTCACACTTCATCACAAAGGACTCACTGCTTATGAATTCTACCAGGTATTTCAAAGTCCTAAACGCATTCTGGGCAGGAGTCGCAGAGACAAAATGTGTGAAGACAGAGCCTGGGAAAGAAGATGATGATAGTCTCAGATTTCTTACAAGAGAACAATGCATTGTATTAGTTGAGAATATCAACAACAACGATGTTCAGGTGATGTGTGGACGTGGTACTGGAGCCTCTACCCTGATGCTGGAGGTGGCAAGGAGACTAAGCAGGTTGGGGGACACATTACTTGTCTGTAAGTCAGAGGAAGAGAGGGACAGGCTAAGGTATGTATAATTTAGAAAATACGAAGTAGCATCCTGTTAAAGTGGAAAAGATTCAAATTAACAGATGACAGGGATAAAAATTACTTAAAAGTTAAATGTGACTGGTTCACTTCTTCAGAAAGGTGTATACGCCAACCGTGACAGTCGATGAGCTCAGTACACTGGACTTGTCACCATTCACAGGCATCGTGGATGAAACCAACGAAACAGAAACCGACCCCAGTTGTTCACACTGGAGATTTACAAACAGTAAGATAATTCATATGTATCCTGAAAATTCTGTTGTGAGATTGTATGTTTATTCTTTAAACTGGGATATGTTTGTGGGTTTGTACCTTAGGCAGAGAAGTCATATTCATTCATAAGAGATTGTTAAAGTTCTCAATAAGTGCAGTTTGTCGTATACTGAATCAAAATACAAACTTGACAATTCATATTTGTAAATAAAAATATGCATTGTTATAGTAGTCCCAAAGTATCGACTCAACAAAAAAGTAATCACAGCAAATTTATGTCAATCCAAACATCGTGCACCCCACAAAAGTACTAAAACTTGTTTTTCACGTGCCACTGGTCTGGTGCTCTTATCATTGCACGTGCATTTGATCGCACATGTTCCCATCAACTGTACAAGGTTAAAAACCCTTTAAAGCACTAACAAGAACAGCCAATTCCAATGCCGCGCCTCTCAAATGTGCAGTGTGAACGTGCCGTTGGCATGCTGGAAGCGGGAACCTCAATAAGTGGCGTTGCAATTACAACGGGGTGCAGCCGTCGGACTGTTTATGATGCACAGACTCGACTGCAACCAACTGGCACCACTTCTGATCGCCCTAGGCCAGGTCGATCACGTGTGACCACGCTGCGAGCTGCTCACCTTCGTGTTCGACGACCATATCGCGGAACCAATTTGGCGCCATTACATCGACGTCAAGCGTTTGCTGTGGGCCCCTTGACACCTCCGATGGACTCGGAGTGATGAATCAAAATGTACCCGCAGATTCGCTGATGGTAGGATGAGAGTGTGGAGGCGACGCCGTGAACGTTATGCTCAGTGTTGTGTACAGGAAGTTGACAGATTTAGGGGCTGAAGTGTCATGGTTTGTGGTGCTTTCGGTGGGATTGACTATTCCCGACTTATCCACGCCGTGGGTACCTTAATGCTGCAGGTTACCGCGACCAGGTGCTAGCCCCCAAACTTATTCCATTCATGGCAGCACATGGTCCAGGTCTGCACTTTTAACATGACAATGCGGGACCCGACTGAGTGTTGTAACTGGTGTTTGGGCGTTAGTAAACCCTACAACAGTTACCTACTAATTGTGGCCGTTCCCATTGTCAGGGGAAGATTGTAGCTCGGGCGCTCCACTCGCTTGGTCCTCGGGAGGATGCTAAGTGCAGGAGTGAGGGGTCGGACGACCGTGACTCCCAGCTACCCGCATTACATTCATGTACTGACACACATACGCTCACAGATAAACGCAACGCCAAGTTATACTCACATAGTTTACTCTGTCTCAGTCCATCTCTAAATACAACTTCATCAGCAGACAGGGTAGGCTTATACCACACGGGGCGACTGAGTGGTGTGGACTGGCTTCCGTCACTTAGAAGCGCGCAGCACTTGCTCAGTGCCAAACCTATCTTTTTATATGGTTCGAGCCTGGCCTGATCACATGTTTCAACTCATTGTTTTGATTCGTTAATCCTATATCCGTCCTAGCACTCATGAATATTACGATTGGAAATTATCGGTAAATACCGTTCGGTAACTTTCCCCTTTTATCGATCTGTTATTGTGTTCTGTCTCTCACGACAGACATATATCTAACTTATGGCTAAACGCCATTATCTTTAGACTTTCTGTTTCCCAACAGTGTCTAGCCGTTATCAATCATGAGCCAATCTGCAAATCTATATAGGGAGTCTGATGTACTTCTCTTACTGATTTAGGGATGCATTTTTACCGTATAACATCAGCCATTTTAACCAGGGATTACCTGCAGAACGCAGGGAAAAAGGTTCTTGACTGGCTGCCAAGGTCACCAGATCTCAATCAAATCGAACACATCTGGGATGCTCTTGGTAGAGGTCTGCGCACTCTTAGGAATCAACCCCAGAATTTGCAGGATCTTGGTGCTGCTTTGAAGGGACAATGGCGCCGACTGCCCACTAATATGTTTACACGCATCAGGAAGAGTTGCTTGGCAGTTGTGGGGGCAAGGGGTGACGCTATTGAACGTTTGAAACTTCAGATTTAATTTCTTGTGACTTGACACTTTGTTTATTTTACTGATAAAGTATGTAATCACATGGAACCGATTTTTGGCATTGCGATTATTCTCAGTTTATCATATGGACCTTAACAAATAAATGATAACCTCTATACCACATTTTTGTGTCCTTTCTTTTATATATATATTTTTTAGTATATGATTGTGAAGTTTCTAGTTTAACTCAGTATACTAGTATAGGTGTACTTTTAAGTGCAGTTAGGTGTAGTTTTCAATGTGTAGGTAGGTGTAGTTTTCAATGTGTAGTTAGGTGTAGTTTTCAGTGTGTAGTTAGGTGTAGTTTTCAATAAGTGCAGTTAGTTCTTAGTCCTCACTGACCGATCATTCAATGGTAGTCATAGCTACACATGTTGAAAAGATGAATCCACAATGATGTTGCCAACAGTCAGTACTAACATCGCTACTGATTTAAATTCTGAACGTTAAAATTTGATGAGAAGCTCAGTATTTCGGTCGCATGTACCGATACTATAACATGCAGCTCAGCACTGTTGAAAATCTTTTTGAAAATTATTTTGATCCAGTTTTTGTTCATAACAAAAGGAGGCAGACCGTTAGTCCAGCTGTGTGCTACTGACTGAGTTTGGTTTTACGCGACTTTCAGCAATATTCCAGCAACATCACTGCGGGGGACACCAGACATGGGCTTCACACATTGTACCCATGTTGGAATTCGAACCCGGATCTTCGGCGTGACGAGCCAACGCTTTAACCGCTAGGCTACCCCACCGCCCCCCAGCTGTGTACTAATTTAGGGCAGTCATGCAAGGGCTCAAATATGATAATAGTTCATTCATATCCCTTATTGAGATACCTTTTCACCTTATTTAGGTACTGCCAAAGTGAAGCATGAACAGACAAACACACCCACCACTTTTACACTTATGTACCGCTCACAGAGACGTAGAGTAACGTGTACATTTGATACTATAAAACCTGTGTTAGTTTGATATATGTAAGGGGCAGACAACAGTTATTTTTGTTGACTGTGCATAACCATAAACAAACACTCATCGGTCGTTGTCTTTAGTGTGTGAGGTGTTTTCTTGGTATGTATATTACACACAGTTTGTGAGAAACAACATGAGAACTTTCAACTTGTATCTCACTGACACCACTATAAGATCTTTTAATTAACTTCGCTGTAAAAACAGTTGAACGAAAAAATATTTTGATTGTACATACTATAGACATATCCATAACTTTTAACATTGTATCTTGTAGTTATTTGAGATTTAATAAAAATGTTTTCTTTTTTTCCTGTTGTAGTTCAAGAGGAACTGAAAAACCTGAAAATGCGTACAACAACAATTAAAAGAGTAATGTACACATACATTCTTTGGATAAGTTCTTGCATCAACTTAAATGAGCACATATTGTAACATACATTTTTAAATACCCACGACATAAGTAAAGGTTTAATAATGAAACTTACCACTGGACTGACATAGCAGCGACAGCATCATGTCTCAGATGATGGTTGTCACACAGACAGTTACCTACATCAGATTCTATGTGTATATTATGAGGAATAATTATTTTAATCAATTAGATGGAAAATGGATTAAATGTATTTTTCAGGAGGTGGACAGCGTTAAAGGGCAGATAGCTGTATTGGAGAATGGTGAGACCATGAGAATCTAAATTATAAACTTTATATTGGTCTGAAATATCTGGCAGTTAATTCTCAGGAAGCAAGAATAGTGACTTGCTTCAAAACTCCTATTTGTGATCCATTCAAAAATATTTCACAGCTTGTTTTAAATTCTAAACATGGTGGTGTCGAATAATCGAGAAATGTTACTCTCTGATACTGACAATGTATTTGTGGATTGTACTTTAGTCTGAACATTATATTGCTTTCCAGATGAATGGGAAGGACAAATGAACTTCCTTTTTGAAGAAATGGACGTGTTAAGGATGTTTTCTGTGAAAGTAAAGCACGTCATGACTGTGAGTGATGTTGGAATCCTTGAAATATATATTTAACCTATTACACTATCAAGGGTGAAGACAACAATCGTCACAGCAGTAAAACTTAACAACGACCTGGCCATTCAAGTAATGTCCCAGCTGACACCGCATACACGACCAATAATAAAAATGAGAGTATGCCCCATCCCTGGCTCATCTCTGCATTGCACATTACATTTTAGGTATCGGACCAACATGTATTTTTATGTTTTTCTACTTGGTCTATTTAGGTTTTCAAATACTTCACCTAGCAGTGACATACGCCAGAACCAAACTTATTTTTACCATTGATGACATATAAAAAATAAACATATGATAAGAATATTATTTATTGTGTATATGTGAATGTGGCTGTTTTAAGTCTGAAATGCAACGTGAAAATACGTAACCTCTCTGCGGTTTCGTTGGTGGGCGAGAGTGAAGCAGATGGCTTTTTGGCAACATTTGATCGCTCGGTATTGATTAACCACAAGTTTTTTAAGAATGAATTTGGTGTTCCGCTGAAGACTAACCACAAGTCTTTCACATGTAATGGTTAAAAATGTACAAAAAAACAAAGTTTATTCGTTCTTTAAGTCTGAAATGCAACGGTGAAATTATTTTGCGTCATAATTCATTTTCAAAGTTGTATTTATCTATTTTTGCTTCTCAATATTGTAGGGTCGAAAGAAGAAATCACTTCAACACTCTCCATTTGACGACCTTTCATCGCCAGGTGAGAGTAGGGAGTTTGAACACATCGTGTGGATACATGAACTAATGTGTCAGTCATGCAGAGATATCAAGGTGTTAGCAACTTACACTATGCTCGTCAGTCCTTTAGAAATATCCTTCTTTCTTTCTTATTGATTCAGAATATTATCCTTACAATTCAACAGATCTATTCTGTTACAGAGTGTGATGGTCAGGACCTAATGGCTAACAGGATGAAACCTCTACTCGTTGAGTTTAAACAGAGAATATATGGACAGAATGACGTACTGCACAGTATTAAAGAGGTGAGAATATGAGACAGACACGTATGTCCAAATCACAATAATACACACACATAAGTGGAAGGTAATAGGAATAACCGTGCAAATGCAAGTGCCGGACATGTCATTAAAAATCCCAAAGCATAAAAGTTGTATACAACTGTGTAAAACCATAAAGTCATGCATTCATGCAGGAACGTATGTAACTAATACTGTTCTCATTTCATTAGTTCCTAGTTGAAGACAAGATCCTCATTGACTACTTCCAGACTAAAATAGGTATGTATTGATTTAGAGATCAATCATGCTTATGTTCATCACTCAAGCTCCAGATACTAGAATAAAGTAAGTGGAACGCTATACATCTTGACAAATTGCCTTTATGTAAAGGGAATCAAAACTCCAACTTTTCGTCATCCAGCCGACGTCATTTCAATTAGCCTGCATAATCACCGGATGCCAAATAGCGTGAGCCATCCAACAAACTGGGTTTCGGACCAGCAAGGGTGTGCCTCGTTAAAACACGGGAATCCCCTTGAATTATAATATTCCATCGGATTTATGCTTACAAACCCCTTTCACCTTGCAAATCCATATATGTGTGTATATGCGCATCCACAATTAAGAACTTCAGTATTCAGCAATTACATGTATAATTAATTTTGCGACTATAGATTTCTCCCAAAGTAGTCAAACAAGCGACGACTTGTTCAGGCAGATTGTATTCAATACAACAATTTCTACTCCCTTCTTGTCGCTCAGTGGTTTTATTATTCATCTAAGCCCTACACTTGTGTATTTTTCGTCATTCACTTGATGCTCAGTTAATGACTTTAGTACAGGTATTAATTACTTGTGACAGCACTCGGATTACCGAGACAATGCAAATTAACTCAAAAGTACACCCATACCTCTAAAGGTGGCGACGCAGAAAGCGAGGAACGGCCAGTTAAGTTGCAAAAAGGTGTCTATATATGTAGGTTTATTAAAGTAGGCAGGAATACACCCACATCTTGGCGTTATGTAAAAGTAAATACTTTGTTCAGAGGATTAGCCGATAATAAGTTGACTGTTTATTGTTGTCTAACTAAATTGATATCGTGAGCATAGATGTCACGCGTGCTATCTCAGCTATCCAATGAGTCATCACACTGATGAGAAACAGTTGAAAGAAATAATCAGATGAACACGGGCTGTAATATCCCGAAACGCCTCATACAAGACACGAGACATGGAACAAGTTTCTTTGTACATCTGAAGATGTATTAGTATATTGTTCTTATGTGTGGATGTTAACGAATATAATCCTCAAACAAGTTCATTGTCTGATATTATACTTAAAACATTTTTGGTTGTAACTGCGATATTTGCTTTTTGCTTTCAGTCAGCTCTAATAGAAACACGAGAGACCTCAATGGTCACTGATCAATGTGTTCTGAGAGTGAAAATGATCAATTAATCCTCAATGCTTTTATGTTATAAAGTATGTTCTTAAGTAACAGCTGGAACTAAAATAGCTCCATATTTAGATACCTTGTTAGAGACTGCCGGATTGGTGGGAAGTATTGATCAATTACTATTTGTAAAATAGAACACTCTATGCTAACGTGGAACCTTTTATTAAACTTGAAGGAAGAGGATAAGAGTCCCCACAACGAATGTAACGAATATCGTTCGTATGTGCAGTGTGATACGTCAATATTATCTAGTGATAGAGAATGTGTTCTGGGAGCCTGGAAAGATGAATACTCGCACCTGTTGAACTGTAACGCAAACACTACTGGAGACAGTGTGGAGTGTGATACGGGGAGTGAAGATGCAAATAGTAATCTCAACGAAATGGTTTCCAGGGATGAAGTCCGACAGGCGATTCTACAGACGAAAAGTGGTAAATCAGCGGGATGTGACACGTTACCGTCCGAAGTTCTAAAGAATGAACAATGTCTGAATTTTATACATAAACTTATTATACTTGCTTCCAAGTTGGAAAAATACCCGACCTCTGGACAAGGGGTATAATCACCCCAGTATTACTTATTGACAGTGGAATGCGTTTCATATAAGGATCCTGAATAAATCGTTAAATTAGCGGAAACCGATTTCAATATTCTTTTTTCCGATATCTCATAATTAGCTGACTTAAATTCGTATGTTTGTATCGGCAATCATCAGCACGACGATAAATGAAAAAAACATTTCTGAAAAATAATAATCAGAAACGTTTCGTCGTAAACAAATGTTTTCGATGTCAATTGTCATCACATGTTTTATTCAAATGACTCTATTGCGTTTATTTCAACGTGTCATGTCATGAAAATTGCAGAATAAAATATATGATTTATGAATATTCCCGAGTCCTAATTTCAAGTGTTATGGTTCATTATTTTTGACACAAGCCCACAGAAAAACAGTGTTGCGCCGTGTTACGCTTCGTCCAACCTGAACATAAAATATTGCTAGTTTGATAAGAATAAAGTTCACGGGACTTTCGTGTATATGCCCTGGCGAAAGTTGAAGAATCTTTCATTCTACACGGGTTTAATTTATCATTTTCAGTATAATATGACAAGAGAGAACGAAAATGAATATTGCGAAATCTAACTTGTTTTCTGGTAAGTGCAAAGGTAACCAGATGCGATGTTACAGACAGAGGTTGTCTGGTAAAAATCTTTCGTCTTTGAATACTAACAGTAAATTTGGAAATATTTCGTCTGGCAAACCCAAATTTAAGTCATATATCTATTTAGAATGATAAAACATAGGAATAAAACATGTTGTTTTTTTACTATACAATTGGCACATCACGGAACCAGTCTGATCTTGTATACTCCCGTGACCCGGAAAGAGTAGTCGATCAAACACTCCACATGCAAGTTTCTCAGTATATTTTATTTGAACATTTGTTGATATTAGGACAACCACATTATTCTACACTGAATATGCAGATAAGAAACATATAATTGTGAGGCATGTTGATGCTTGTTTCGCTAGGGATTTTTACTTTGTCCGTATAGGTATACAAACGTTTACAAACATCGGCCTCAACAACAGGTGCGCGGGAATGGGCGTGACAAAATTTGTTTCGAAATAACATTCATGCTTTTCTTATTTGACAAAATATTATGCGTGATGCATATGTATGATATTGTATACTAAAACATAGTATCAATTATAGTTTCACTTGAAATTAGGGATGGTTTAATAAATTTTGCGTTCATATTACATGTATGCCAAAGTTATAGTCTAACTTCAGAACAATTTTAGTTTCATAAATAAATTTATGCAATAAATTAAAATCCTTGGTGAATACTGATGATAGATTTGTAATGCTTAACGTTTCACAGCTGGTTACAACTTTAAATATTTTCATATATGTTAATTGTTATTACTAATATGATTAGTATTCTTCTCTCCCAAATAGTCATGGGTAAAGACACTAAGGATCTATCAAATTCATTAGCAAATTGTAAATAACCAATCCTCAGTTATTGTCTTTGAGTGATGTGGAAAACTAACAACTTTACATAATTATTTATTACAACTATACCATAAAATATATGGATAGATGTGTCATATTATTGTGTATATTTTGTTTCTATACAGTATCTTGCTAAAATATACCTTAAATACAGATGGGTGAAGAACAATTTTTGTTTTCTACATTAACTCTTTGTCTTCTGAATTATTTTCAATCACAAATAACTAGTGTCATTTATGCTGTTGCAGTAACAGTATATTTATCAGAAAATGTTACCATTTGATGAAAACAGGGATCATATACATGTAATAAAATATATGGCCTCTGATGAAAGTCAACAGCCCTCATATTCTGTTAAAATTAAAGTAAATAGAAATTATCTTACCTTAGCATCTTTTCCTGGGTTTTGGAGCAATGACATAATATGAAATTAGTCTACTGAACTTTCGAGGATTGTTGCTGTTTGCTGAAGTGTCTGATAGTGATATACTCCTATCACTACAGTATGCAAAATTGCCCCTGCCATCATAAAACAAAAATGTCAAGAACAGTTTTCTTTCAATTAAAAAATGCCAAAACCTGAGCACTCTGGGGTCTGTATGTATGTGATATTGTCATTGCCACATATATATGGCAATAAAAAATCCGAATTGAAATCTCAATGAATTAGCTCCAAACTGAACAGCAAAAAATATTTTATTGCAGGGCTTGATTTAGGGAAAGGAAACCTATTTGTCCCTGGTGCCACCTTACATGATTACCACAAAAACAGGTTGCACCTCCTGCTCAGTATATATTTATCTATTACTTGTGGTTTTGATATTGCTGATTCACAGCATCATTACAACAAATTATTCTGGGTCTGGTATAAAAATTATATATTACTTCATAAAATTTCCTGACATGAAAAAAGGGTCATTCTTTCAATCACTGTCAGTGTAATCATTGCTTCAAGCCAGTTCGGGTCATCAGTCTGTATCCAAGATGAAGTCTGTTTTTAACAGCAGAATATGAAATGCACAGTGTGCAAGTAGGTATAAATATGAGGTTACATTTTGCAGTTTTAGGTTGCACCAGTGCAAATTCTAGATGCTAAATCGACCCATGCACTGGGTCACTTGACCAGTATTGTCTTTTTTTAGAAAAAATGGACACACGTCAAACAATGTGAACAATTAGTAGGTAGAATTAAAACTTTGAAAGCTCTGCTTTTTGATGCAACAGACGTATTTCAATTTTGCTTCTGCTTGGAGAACAAAATATGTGCCGTTTAGCTGTTTTAATGTCCAAAATGAATACCGATTTTGAGTGAAATGCATTCACGCAAACTATGACTATTTTTGTATCCCGTCATTCCATTTTTTAAGAAATCCATTCACATTACCTTCTTACACTAGATCTGGTTTCATCCGTTTCTGTGAAAGGAAAAAAGAATTCATGCATGGCATCTTCAATCACCAGAATTGTCCTTCTAGTGGCGATAGACACATAACAATATTATGTTATTGTTATGACATACTGACAGTTTATAATATCTCCAAATGTCAGAAGATTATTCGAAAATCATCGACCGCTAGATCCATTACGACTGCAAGTTCTGTTTGGTGATGTCATTATGCTGCTCTCCTGTCGAATGGGTTCGACAGTAGCATTGAGGGGATTAAGCAAGGGTGCTCGCTATCTCCCCTTCTGTTTAACCTCTATATTAATGACTTGATCACAACTGTAAATAACTGGCTCTATGTGTAGACGTCGACAATATCAACGTTGAAATTTTAGCTTATGCTGACGACATAGTTTTAGTCACAGAGAACGAAGATAACATGAACATTTTACTTGATGTACTCAGTACCTGGTGTCTGGAGAATAAGATGGACATAAATGGAGATAAATCGAAATTGATCCACTTTAGGACCAAATCAGCGAGGATAACTTCGTAAACATTTTCGTCGGGAATGAAAAATATTGAATTAGTGAGCTGCTATAATTATCTTGGTTTGTTACTAACGCAGCACCTCGACTTACAACGGATGGGACAAGCAGTAGCAAACTCGGCAAATAGAGCTCTGGGTCTGTCAATATCAAATTACAAGGCCTTGGGTGGAATGCAGTACCATACCTATACAAAACTCTATGATTTGATGGTGTGGTCTACCATACAGTATGGTTCTGTGATATGGGGACAGTACGACTTATCATGTGTTAAGGCTGTGCAGAATAAAGCAATGAGGTTTTTTATGGGTCTCAGAAAATTCACCCCCAACAACGCCGTGTCCGGAGCCATGGGATGGACTCCACCTACAGTTCGCCAATGAGAGACTGTGTCAAAGTTTTACAAGCGTTTAAGTTCCCTTCAAGACCACAGACTGTCAAGAAATGTTTTTAATTGGGCAAATAATCATGCTTTTAAAAATAAGAAAAAATGGAATTTTAGAGTCCTCGTAATATATAAAGCCCTTGGATTGAATAGTTTTATTCCAAAAGAAAATAACTATCACTACAGACGTATTGTGACGGAAGTGAAAGAATGAGTTTTTAAGATGTTCAAAGAAAAGTGGGCAAGTGCTTTAAATCAGGATAACAGTATCAGTATCAGTGGCAAGGGGGGTAACAAACTGCGTCTATATAACCAGCTCAAGGACAACTACAGACCGGAATACTACAATACACTCCCGATGTCGAGACCAAACAGAAGATCTCTGGCCGTATTCAGATGTGGGGCTGCACCGATTAGGCTTGATTAAGCTTCGCTATACGAACCGTCAATATGTTTTAACTGTACCAACTGTGTGGAAGCTGAGATGCATGTTTTACTTCAATGTCTAATTTATAATGATGGCCGTAAAGATCTTTTAACTACATGTAATGATGAGTGGCCTGATTGTAATGTACAGAATGATGATGTTAAGCTATGTTTTATCCTGGCCAGCCCAAGTGTTGTACATATGTAAGTGCCGAAACCTGCAAGGCCATTTTAAATGATGTAAGGATATTTTATATACCTTATTGTGTTTTTACATTTTACCTGTGTATATTATCCATTTTATTTTTTCCCAATTTGTATTATTAGTAATTTTAATTTGTACTTTTTTAACGTTTAGTCTCTCATAACTCCAAACGGAGTGGCTCATTTTACTTTTATGTTTGCTTGAGGTAAGACTATAATAAACCACCTGTCTGTCTGTCTGTCTAGATAGAAAATGTCTCATAAAATAACACTTTCATTCGACCATTGCACCAAAATTCTTTAAAGTTATATTATTGGTTATTTTGTAACCGTATCACAGGGAGATTTCCGAAAAAGTGTGCGTACAGCTGATTGCTGATTACAAGCTTCGCTTTGTGTAAAACTATGAGAAAACAAAATTTAAATGGTAAATCATCATGTCTAGTGATAATCTATCAAAGATTTCACATTTTTTTTATCACGTTGCTCGTTTGCCCGAAGTCTCGGAAGGGATAATATGTACTTTACAATACTGATGTGCACCGATAGGCTTCAATCTGAAGGTTTTTATGCATTAATCAACTATTAAAACATATGTCAGTTTGGTTATGCCTCTTTATTGTATATCCTTTGTTTTGATAGACAGCTTCTCATCCTCCGATAGGTGTTGCTTCGCGCAGTGAGAATAATTCTGAACACTAGTAAAACATGGCGAAATTATAGTCCATAACAAGCAAATCTGCAATCTGCAAAGTAACAACTGATCCATATTTCAAGGCTTTTAAAATAGGTAATTGACCTCTTATAGGCACAGCCTTTGCTTAAAATGTTCAATGCTTGACTATCAGCTCAAAACCATGAAAAGTTAACTTTTTTCTAACAAATACGCTTATAACGAATATAACAAAGATGTTTGTCCCATCTGTTTGCTGTGCGTCCATTGTAACAAGATAAATTTAGTGGTCCCTTTAGTTGACTGTATTGATCTTATGTGTTTTTATAGAGTTGGTATTCGAGGTGTTTCCAGATAAGATATGACTTATATATCCAAAAGGAAATTCATATTCTACAGTCGATTAGCACTAAGATATGAGAAAAAAAAATATAAACTGAAGTACAAAAGAAACTTGACACTCATTCGTTTCAGTCATACAGGAAAAATAACAAAACCAATTCATATCATGATACCGGGATAGTATATAATGATCATTGCTGCATGATACAGCAAGCAATCATGACTGGTTGTTTGAAACTGAGTTTGAGTCACCGAAAGACGTAAGGGGTATGAAATGTTTTCTTACAGTTAACAGTGTAAAGACCATGTCCTTAAATGATGTCCATAATGAATGTTTGTCAATGGACATGCACTGACATTCAAATCAATATCTGTGACCTCCATTGGCGTTGATACAGGCCATAACACGACGTCTCACGGAGAACGTAAGACGTCGGATGACGTTAGCGCGAATCTGTCTCCACTCCTCATGAAGTGGCTGTTCCAGTTGCTGCCTGGTCTGTAGCTGTTGCTGTCGACCTCTCAACTGTCGTCCAAGATGATCCCAAAGATGTTCAATGGGCGATACATCCGGGGAGCATGACGGTCATGGCAAAACGTGCACGTTATTCTGAGCAAGGAACTCTGTGGTCAATCTCGCCGTATTGTTGAAACATGGTCCCCTGTGCCTGTTGCCGAAGGAATGGCAGCACTACCAGAGTGAGCACTTGATCTCGGTATGCCCGAGCTGTCAGATTTCCTTGAGGAGGAGTCTTCTGTTCGCCACAAATTCCTTTCCCGACCATTATTCCACCTCCACCAAAGGGATGAACCTCTTGTACACAAGCTGGTGCAAGTCGCTCGCCTCTACGCCTGTATACTCAGACTCTACCAACCGCATGGAACAGATTAAATCGACTTTCGTCAGTGAAGAGCACCCGCAGTCAATTCCGTCGGGACCAACGTCGCACAGTTCTTGCCCAGCGTAGACGGTTTAGTTGATGTTGTCGTGTCAAGGACATCCCACGAAAGGGTCGATAGGCCCTGATTCCTGCAGCATGCACTCGTCTCATGACGGTGTTCCTGTGGATGTGGTGTCCGAGTGCCGTTGGTGCCGTTGTCGTCATTGTCAAGAACCTGTTTCGCAGATGGAGTAACCGGATGTGGCGGTCTTCTTGGGGTATTGTGACTCATGGTCTCCCGCTCCTAGGACGGTCAGCTGGAAATGGCTAAAAAGGTTCACGATGGTTTGTCGGATGCAACCAAGTGTTCTGGCAATGTGATTGTTGTTTGCTCCCATGTGGGACATACCGACGGCTCCCTCTCGTTGTTCTGCTGTTAGTATTGGCATTCCTTTGGTGTACTATTCGTTGCAATAATGTCAGTTTATCTCGTGGATCACCTTTTATACCGTTGGTGCATAAATTGCACGTGCAGTCACTAATAAACGTGAATTTCGAGAAACATACATCAAAAGCAAAAAAACACTGAAGTTGGTGTGATTGGGCTAATGATTCACATGCTGTGTGTTGGGTATATAATACAGACCACATATTTCAAGGTTACTTTATGTTTTATCGAAATGTTTCCGAAATTGCGGGTGTAAAGTTTCTTTTGTACGTCAGTTTATGAATAAGAATGAAAGAAAACAAGACACTAATATAACCACTCATAAATACATGTTGAAAATCTGACATCATGACAGTGACAAGTAATGTGATGTAAAAGTTGGATACTATACTCTGTATCACTGCTCCAGTAAACCTGAATAAGAGGGATAATGGCAGCATAAGATTTGGATATAAAACGTATTGAACAGATAGTCATATACAAGACTGATATTGGCTGGTATGAATGAAGGTGAACGAAGTTTGATGCACGTTGGTTGGTTGTTGTTTAAGTGAGTGAGCGAGGTTTTTTTACACCGCTTTTTGCAACATTCCAGCAATAGCACGGTGGGAGACACCAGAAATGGACTTCACACATTTTACCCATGTGGGGAATCGAACCCGGGTCTTTGGCGTGACGAGCGAACGCTTTAACTACTAGGCCACACCACCGCTCCTAGTTGTTGTTTAAAGCTGCACTCAGCAGCATTCCAGCGATATGGCTGCGGTCTGTAAATAATCAAGTCTGGACCAGACAATCCTGTGAGCGATATCATATCAATTGGGATATGATGACATGTAAGCACAGAACAGACAAAGTCTCATTTTGTGTAAGAAAAACCGATGGTTGCAAGTATCTAATGCAAAAATGTATTTTCGCAATGTTCCCTGTGTCACCTCTTTGTTGTTTCAGAATCTTGGAAAATGGAACAGTCGGTCTTTCATCAAGGTAAAGTAGTTACCTACCTACAGGTATTAATAATAGCATGCCGGAAGGTTTTCATCACCGATATTTCGTGATAGTCTTAAATACAGTGAAATCCCTATGAGTCGAATCTCTAGGGACCAAGTAATAAATTCGACTTATCGATGCATTCGAAACATAGGTATGTCTATGAGGGTAGAATAAAAGATGATCCAGTCCTAATTCCCCCGCCTAAGCATTTGTTTATCTAATGATTTCCCTATCACTAATAGGGGCACCTTATCAGTTCCAGTGTGATTAGCACAGACAGTATTTTCCGTAAAATCACTAATCTGCCTTTTGAACTCACCCGTCAAAGGCGGAAAGGTGTGAGCCGCGCTGGCTTGTTAATTGGATCAGTTTGCTACACCAATAAACTTCTCATTGACTGACTTCGGCTTATGTATACAAGATTGCTGTTGTTTGAATCTCATGGGACCACCTTTTCTCCTCGAGTCATCGTGTGTATTTATGAGTCGAATTCGTGTAACCGGTATTCAAATGATGACAACTATAACAGGGAATGGTCGGGACCGACAGGTACTTCGAGTTACGCATAATATTCGAGACACCGGCATTCGACTTATCGGGATTCATTTAGATACACGTTCTTCTATTTCAGACCTTTGGTATGATGAGGATGAAGATGATTGGTATTATGATGATGATGGTGATGATGATGATGATGATTGGGAGTATGATGAGGATCATCAAAGGATAGTGAAGGTATGTTGGTATGATGTAGGAGGATCTCTTGATTATGAGTTTATCATGATCATACTGATTTTTGCACACCTAATCTTGTAGCTTGTTCGTACAGCGTCACTCGTGCATCGTTCTTCGTGTAACATAAACATCTTTTCCTCCAAAACTATTGGACCAATGGAATGATTCCTCACATAATTTCGCCAACCAAAATCCCTCCCAAATTTGTTTGAGAAGTTGGATTCTGATCTTTCAAAAATACCTTTTGAAACGTTGCATGACCTTTAGTAATTTTTCATCATAGTTTCATGATATTTGGTAAGTGATAAGTGAAAGGGCTCTGTAACGGCCATGAAATATCCAACAAAATGGATGTTAGTATTTGTTTGTTGATCACATCTGTTTAAATCACTACCTCATTAGATTTTTGTTTATTGTATTTATGAGGCAGTGTTACACCTTCTGCAACTGTGTTTTAACTGTTATACATCGTAACTGTGGCAGTTGTGAGACATGTTTCGACTATAGTTAGATGGAGTTCACAAGGCTTCCGCTGTGTTCTGGGTACGTAAGTCCCAACACATTCAAAGTAAATTTAAACCCACTACTATTTTTAATCGTAGTATATGTTATTTTAATTTGTGGCAAGATTATAAAAAATTGCTAAAAGCTGAAGGTATGGTGTAAATCCAGCTATTGTCGAGGCAGGAAGCAAATGTACTGTAAGTCCCCATGGTCCCTAGTATGGTGATCTACCTTCAGTTGTTGGCGATATATAGCCTGTTTTTATATTGTATTGTCTTCTGTAATTCACTCACTCCATTGTGTTCTATCCTCGACTCTAAGAAACATGTGCAAAACATGTATAAGTCGGATTTCATGTAAAATATCGTGCGAAAAAAATCAGTTTAAATGGCCTGTCGAACACTGCAATATCACTGCACATAAAGTCACACACAGAGAACGCAAAGGTTAACCTAGGAAGAAAAAGAACGAGCAGTAAGGATGACTCAGATGGGTGCGACGCATATCCACATAGCGAGGATGTTCCAATGCACACCACTGACTTTGTCCAGAGTTCTCCAACGTCACCGACAGACTGGGACGCCTTTCAACATTCCCGGAAGTGGAAGACCACGGGTAACGACACCACAGGAAGACCGCTATATTTGAAGGATTCATCTGTGAAACAGATGACAGGGAACGTTTATACAGACGTCGTGGTGAGCGTATAACACTCCAATGTATACGGGAGGTCCATCCTTACGGTTGCGGTGGTGTCTTGGTCTCGGGTGTCATCGATGACGTAAAAACACCTCTGGTCATTATAAATTGAAATCTGAACGCTCGTCAGTATATTCATCAAGGCACTGCCGTTTCACACAATCAACGACGAGGCATCATTTTTCAACACGACTTTGCGAGGCCTCACACTGCAAGAGCAACTCGCGATCTTTACAACAGAACAACGTTGATGTTTCACCATGGCCAGCCTGCTCACCAGACATGAATCCGATTGAACACTTGTGGGACCACATGGATAGACAAATCAGCCGTCGTTGACCAATTCCACAAGACCGACAAGAGTTGGAACGTGCACGTAGAGAAGAATTGCAACGGATACTGCTACGTCTGACTACGTCAATGAGAAGACGTATCTGAATATGTACTGACATGGCAGGAGGTCATACACGTTATTGACTCAGACCGTCCTCCGTGGTGTTGTGCTATCGACATTAATTGTCGACACAGACTTTAACAATCTGTAACAATGCCACCCTAACTGTATTTAATCTCTAATTCTAGTTAAAGTCAAACATGAGAGCTGTGTCTGTTTACATGGAGAATACCAAGATGACGCCGGAATCTTATAATATCAATTGCACGGAAATATCTGCTTTTGTCTTTATTTTGATAATGAAAGTGGACCTATACTTTCTTTTGCCAGGCAATTTAGTTTTATATGAAAGCAGTTGTTATAACTCGCGCATAAATCTGACTAGTAATAGGTAACGGTTAACATTTATACATTTTTGAAAAGGTGTGGGCAATTTGTGTTTCATTGTTTTCATCAGCTGACTGTACTGTTGTAGGAGTGGCGACAGATGCAGGAGAGGCGGGAGATGCTGGAGAGGCGAAAGATCCGAAAGATGCAGGAGAGGCGAAAGACATGGGAGAGGCGAAAGATGCGGGTGATGCGAATGAGGAATGAGGAAAATGTTAAGTCTCTGTTGTTGCGTGGTCACAACAGGTGTTCTGAAACAGGTAAAAGTGGTTCAATAAATATTGGTATGATTAAATTGTTTTAATTTAGGATTTATTAGCAGGTTACACTAACGTTGTAGAGTGACAGGGAAAGGGAATACTATTAGACGTCACTTTTTAAGTTATTCTCAATCATGTCACAAACTGTCAGTAATATTTGGAAGCCTGAACTAATGGGGGTCAAAGGCTTAGGTTTAAGATCATAATCAACCAAGAATAAATAACAGTGTGAATTCCGTTCAATCTTTTAGTGTCCTTATTATCTGGTCTTTCGATGTTTCTATTTGTTAGGTACAATTGCGACGGTAAGATAATATAATGTGCATAAACCGTAGATATGTACATGTTCTGCATGTGTATTACTCCCTATTCTGAATATGTAAATTATTACTTGTTGCCAAATGCAATACCACTAGTATCACCTCAACAATTGTACCTCGATGGTCACATGACCAAATTTATTACGTCTCTAGAAATCTTTCATCTGTTTGTCTCTTGTGTGGTACTGGCGTCATTAACCAATTCTCCGAACACGGTAAATGCACAAGGCATCGAATCACCTTCTTGTCGCTGATATTTGTACAGCGAGCCTTCTAGAAATTGTCTCATCCCGAATCTTCTCCAGCTATGAAGCCTTCCATATACAAACCAGATAGTACAACAACAATAAATAATTCCCAGTACAAAACCATTTTGGCAAGGTCAATCGGCTCCTATCGATCACTGTTCCAATCTGTCTAAGACAAAAATCCCAGTCACTGCACTGGACTTCATTTTGGTCACTGCTATGTCAAATGTGCAATACTAAGGCCTTCAGTGTTGTTATCCTAATGAAATATCTTTTGAGTCTCTTAGTCGTATGGCACTCATGGAAAGAGCATGCTTGGTTGTACCTCATAGGGGTGTTAGGGTATCCTAGTCGTTTGATGGCTCACTTGGGTACAATGTGTGAAGCCAGTTTCTAATTTTGGCTGTTGTGTTATTACTGGAATATTACTGAAAATACATGTTCACTCCATACTCAATCAATCAGAAGTTGTAAAATGTAGTTCACCAAAGACTGCCAAAGGTTGAATATTGTTCAGGACGAAAGAAACATTTACAATTCAATGTTGAAGTCAGCCCTCTCGCGATTCAGTCAGATGTTCTGTCACTTTGAAAGCATGGTTCTTGACATAAAACAGATGAAGTCGGTTTCATCTTTAAACTATGACATCGGATTTTAGTATCTTCATAAGACAAGGTTTCACAAATTGAATCATCTTGTGGAACTCTCAATATACATATATATTTGGTGTAGAAGTACTATAATTTTAATTTTTTTATGCGAACTGCTTGGTATTAATAGTTGTCATGTAGCACAGCATCAACTCATGAAAACGACTGTATGTTTCAGCTGCCGAAGAGAATTTTGCAAGTCTAGAAGACATGAATAAAGGCGACGAATCAAAGGTAAGAAGAGTATAGGAATCGTTCATCCAAGATTAGGTGACTTCCGTGGTAGACCCAATGCTCTTCTCGTCATTTTTTAATGATCTTGAACCGTCTTTACATTCTCAAAATTTCCCCCAGTCTTACTGTTGAGTCACACATATGCCCGTTGTATACTACTGCGAATAATGTAACTGTGCATTATTTGATGTTGTGCCATTTTGGAATGCCAAAACATAATAACATGATTTGTAGTGTTTTCCTCAATCACTGTTTAACTGTTGACAGGAAAATATCAATATCTGTATGATTTGACAGTAGGCTTCGTAGGCTTGAAGAGATGTGGTGTCAAAAGTAAGTTCACAAACTCAGTATCGTGTGTGTCCACCATTGATGTTGATGCTTGACATGCATGGACGGCAATGACCGAATGAAGAAAGCTTGGGAAATTTTGTTCCATGTCTGAGCCAACGCTTGTCCCAATACAGCTAACGTCAGTGGCTGATTCTGGGCTTGACGTAAACGTCACTCAATTTCATCCCAAGTATTCTCGATAGGGGACATGTCCGGACAAACAGCTCGCCAGGGGAACACCAGAATGTTCTGCTGTCTCAGGAAATCTGTCGGAGCGACATGTGGACGGCTGTGGACGGCTGAACATGAGACCCAATGATCTCATCCCTGTATCACAGACCTGTCAGACTGCCATTGACAATGACAAGTTGTGCCCAATCATAAGATGTGATGGCTCCTTATACCATAACGCTTTCACCACCAAACTGTCAACGTTGAACAACGCACGTATTCGACTCGTCAGTGTACAAACCGCCATCCAAATGTTGTTTCCTGTACCGTAGATGCTGTCTGCACCAGGCACGATGTGCCTGTTGGGGACGTTGGAGCAAAATTGGACGTATAGCTGCCCGTCGGGGCCGGATGCTGTGCTCCCTCAGTCGGTTCCATACAGTCTTGGAATTGATTGGACATAAGTCAGGAATGGTCCCAGCAGTGAAACCTGCAGTCTGGAATCGATTCCTAAGATGGGTCAGCCGAATGTGGTTGTCTTGCAGACGTGACGTCATGCATGGACATCCGGTCCGAGGCATATCTCTTGTATTCCGATTATGTTGAAAACGTCTCCATGGGTGAGATCGTGTTTCGATGGACACCAAAATGTCTGGTCACTTCATTTTGGGCCATTCCAGTCTCCAGCACAGTCCCACGGCGCAGAGACGCTGATTTTCTGTAAGCCATGGCACGACGTACGCGCAGTTTAGGTTGAAATTAACGTGTCAGGTGTGTGAGTCACATAGCATGCAAAAAGTGAGTAAATTCATTGTGCTCAAAGTGCACGTGCGATACTTGACATCAAAAACAGTACTTTTTTCCGTTAGTATATCATTTGCGCTGCTTTTTGCCGATGATACAACATAAATATCCCTTAAACCATCAAACTGTGCAAACAATGTATTTAACAATGTAACTGCAAAACAAGGAAATTAGTTATCAACACTAGCAAAAGAAAAATGGTATTTTGTGTGGTACCTGAAACCGAGTAAACAGATGCTATTAAATGGCTCACCCATCAAATACGTCACTGATTATAGATATATAAGAATTCATTTTACAAACAATAATTCTCATAAAAACTATTAAAGCCTACTGTGAATCTCCCATCAAGGCATTGTATTTTGTGCTGCGTAAAAGTCGAATCTTTAACCTGTCAGTAAAAGACCAATCATATCTCTTTGGTGCCACGGTTAAGCCAATTCTCTTAGACCCTAGAAGGTCGGGGTTAGAATTGGCCTTCAGTAACTCATGCTTGTCGTAAGAGGCGGCTAACGGGATCGGGTGGTCAGGCTCGCTGACTTGGTTGACAGATGTCATCGGTTCCCAATTGCGGACATCGATGCTCGTGCTGTTGAGCACTGGATTGTCTTGTCCAGACTCGAATATTTACAGACCGCCGCCATATGGCTGGAATATTGCTTAGAGCGGCTTAAAACAAAACTCACTCACTTACTCGCTCACCAATTCTCTTAGATGGCTGCGAAATATGGGGATTTGAAACTGTAAAGTAATCGAATTTGCCCATATAAATTTTTTACGCATTTTACTGCCTGTTAAGAAATGCGCGTCATTCTATGTGTTAGTAATTACATGTCAAATCAAATGTTATGTTATGGAGCCTGTATAAACAATAGCAATAAAAAATCCATAAAATCTGTGGGAGCTGTTTTTAATGAAACTGACTATATCATTTTCTTGCTAAGTCAACAAGCTGTCTTACTCAATGTACTTAAATCTAGTATCTACTTAAGGTTACATGATATAGCTACTCAAACATTATTTGAAGAGTTTTCCATTTGTTCTAAAGGTACCACTTAACGCATATCCAAGGATATTCTCTGACCTTTCTTCAAAATATAATTGGAAAACATATATCCCTAACCATTATGTTAAATAACTCAATGCATAACAATTTAAAGAATTGTTTAACTGTAGACAAATAACTCTTGTAAAGTCATCAGAAGATAATAAATACCCCTCGGCCCCCACAAATTAGAAAGAACAAATCATCTGACAGTGGAATAAATATTTTTGTACATTCTGTATTACCATCATGTCAGTTGTACATGAAAACCACCCTGTGTGTTCCAAACTGTATATTTGTACCTCTTATGTCAAGTATCCCGGCCTGAACGTCAGAAAAGTTCTGTTCTGCCCTGCAAGGAATAGCAGTCATGCTTTGTTGTTTACAAATGTTCACAACTGTCGAGATTACTACAGGCATCTACAGCCGCTTTTACCTTGAGCTCATGTATTTAGTCTTGTTTACTTGGTAAAGGCTAGATTGACTGATACTAGAGTATTCCTCAGTGCCTTGGGAAATAATATTGTCTCAATCCCTTTAAGAAAAAAGTGAAATGTCCAAACATGTTTTATCCGATTCAATGATAAATTCTCGAATGCACATATATTATCTTATATGGGCCTGAAGAAACCACCTTCTAACCACAACCGAAACTAAGCTACTAAATAATTCAACGCTGGCCTCACAACAGTTAGTTTATATTCCACTTCTTGTATTTAAAAAAACTAGAGAGTTAGAGTGTTAACATTTTATAACTCATTCATACTCAAACCACCTCTTCCTTTTTTCAGGAAATATCTGAAGGCAGGAAGACATCTTTCTCTCCCCATTCAAACCAATCAATGGATGTGGGTACGTGTGCATACAATGTTTACAGTACTGTATCTCATATCCCGAGAGAGTTAATTGGCTTTTGTGCAGCAGGGCCAAAGAAGGGAAATGTCAGATATTGTACTATTGCCAGTTTTAGAAAGTTTAGAGTTTTCTGCAAAGTATCCACTTTAAAATGTATACAGGATGTTTGATTCTTGTTTTCCTCAAATGACATGTTTGCCTTGGTCATTGGGTTCAAAACAGATCTTTCCTACTCTACAGGCCAAAACTACAGCACATGAGATACAAATGCACATGTTAACGTTTAACTGAATACGAAAGGTTTTGCATATTTCAATCTTCAATTACTAAAACATATAATAAAAAAATAAATTTTATTACAATATAAAAGGGCACCCGTGAAGAGCCACCTCCACGTGGTGGGTGCTGGGTAATGCTTAGAGCTCTTCAACCCCCCGTGTGGACCCGGGGGCATATTTGGTCCACCAACCTGTTTGCCGTGGGTTGCGCCCCTGTGTCGGTGGAGGACGGAAGTCTGGTGGTTGAGGGCACTGGGAGCCTGGAACCGTGTTCCTTTTGCCCAACACACCACTTTGGCCCGGACTTCACCTAGACGGGTGGTAGAACAGGCCCGGTTCTATAAATCGGCTGGTCACGCCAAGCCCTGTGCATGGTACATATATATTAGCACATATACTATTTTGGGGGCCAAATGGTGTATGTCTCTAAATTCTTGAGACCCGTGAAGATCCGGGGTAGAATAGGTCTTCAGCAACCAATGCTTGCCACAAAAGGCGACTATGCTTGTTGTAAGAAGCGACTAACGGGATCGGGTGGTCAGGCTCGCTGACTTGGTTGACAGATGTCATCGGTTCCCAATTGCGGACATCGATGCTCGTGCTGTTGAGCACTGGATTGTCTTGTCTGTTGAGCACTGAATTGTCTTGCCCAGACCGCCGCCATATAGCTGGAATATTGCTTAGTGCGGCGTAAAACTAAACTCACTCACTCTAATTTCTTGTCTTGGGCCGAACCAGTCGGGCATTAAATTGGTAGGCAAATGAAGCTATTTGTGTCCTATTCCCCGGGGTATAACACCCCTGCATCCCTGGTGTCAGCATCGTGGATATCCTGCTATTTGACACTGTCTTTGTTGACACCCCATGGTGGGTGGGGAGCAGGGATGTTTCCTTTCACCATGCTACCCCAACACGTTTGTTCAACTCGTAATGAAAAAAAGAGAAGACTAGATGAAATAGATCTTTCAAATGATACAAATTCTTCCAACGTTGATTCATGGCCTCGATTTATTTACAGACTCTCTACCAATCAAATTAAATCCGTTTGCCATCTCAAAGTCTATTTCTGGAATCGGTGGAGAGGTGAAAACTGTTACCCGTCTTAGTGGCTCGCTTCTCGTGGAGTGTGTACGGAGACAGCAATCTCTTAGTCTGTTGTCTATCCATACATTTGCAAATATAGAGGTTGCTGTGTCTGTTCACAGGACACTTAACACTTGTCGTGGCATCATCCACGACAGAGCACGTTGCCTCGCTGATATGTCAGAAGAGGATATAGCGGCTGAGCTTGAAAGTCACAGCGGTTAAACGTTTCACCTTCAGGAAAGAGGGCATCATCACTAAACCGAATACCTATCTGGTGACGTTTTCTCGATCTTCCTTTCCACAAACAATTAAGGCAGGTTATTTTAACGTCGGAGTGGATGTGTATGTCCCCAATCTGCTCTGATGTTCCAAATGTCCACATTTTGGTCATTGGTCGCGGTCTTGTCAAAACTCCGTGGTGTGTCAACTTTGTGGTGGCCATCATGAGAATATCGACTTTCAGAATGATTACAAATTTGCCAGCTGTGACGGTCCAAATTTTGTGTCATCGAAGTTCTGCCCTGTGTATCAAAGGGAATCTCAAATCATGAAGATAAAATCTGAAGAAAAAAATATCATATCTCGATGCCAAAAGACCCTTGACAAATCAGTCCGTTGACTGTCACATATTCCGCCGCAGTCACCCGCTCTGCAGAAATGTCTTCTACTGCATGTCAGACTGACACGACTTGACCTTGGGTCAAGTCAGCTCAACCTTTCTCATCAACGTCAGTCATGAATCCAATTACCCCAGTCATTCCATCTACGTATGGTTCCTAGACAGATAGACCCGTGAAGATCCGGTGTAAAACAGGTCTTCAGCAACCCATGCTTGCCACAAAAGGCGACTATGCTTGTCGTAAGAGGCGACTAACGGGATCGAGTGGTCAGACTCGCTGCCTTGGTTGACAGGTGTCATCGGTTCCCAATTGCGTAGATCGATGCTCATGCTGTTGATCACTGGATTGTCTGGTCCAGACTCGATTATTTACAGACCGCCGCCATATAGCTGGAAGATTGCTTAGTGCGGCGTAAAAGTAAACTCACCCACTCACTCCTAGACAGATGAAATTTATTCCGTGATCCCATCTCAAAAGTATATTTCAAAACCAGCCAGTGAACAAATTAAAGACAAACCACCTTCTGTCCCTTTAGTGGTTCCAACGCAGAATGCATTTGGACCTCTAGATATGGTAGTCACTCTGTCCTCGCAGGACAGGTGGAGGAACAGTTCCTCGCATTCCCGTCAACGATCGCCAATTGAGCCACCATGACTCAATTGCCGGCTTTAGTGCAGTGGAATCGCAGAGCAGTAACGAATAACTTTAATGAGATACAATTATTAATACAGGTTTTTGAACCGTCAGCATTATGTCTACAAGAGACATATCTAAAAATACTGATAACTTTAATCTACGACAGTACAGTGATTATCACTCCTTTTCTCCTCTAGGAGATAAAGCAACAGGAGGTGCTTCTATTTTGGTACGACAGGGTATAATACATAGCCCTGTCCCTCTTAATACCCTCAAACTATAGGTGTTCGTATTACCCTGCACATTGCGCTCACGTTGTGTAGTTTGTATATCCCTCCGTCTTCTGATATTTGACTGTCGGATCTTAAGAATCTATATGATCAGCTTCCAAAGCCATGTCTTATCATGGGCGATCTGAACGGTCACAACCCGCTTTGGGGAAGCATACGTACTAATAATAGAGGTAAAATCCTTGAGGAATTTATTTCCGATAATCATATATGTATATATAACGATGAATCTACCACTTATCTACATCCAGCTACGGGAACATATTCTTCCCTGGATCTGCCAATCGCCGATTCAAGCTTGTATTATGAATTTGAATAGATGGTTCATGATGACCTATGTGGGAGTGATCACTTCCCTACCAATTTTAAAACAATTCACCCTGGTGATGATCCACCTTTATCAAGAAGGAACTTCGCCAGGGCTGATCGGTCATTATATAAAACACTTTGTACTGAACACTTAAAACATGATGTTTTTGTGAACAGCGAAGATCCTATGCCTTTTCAGATATATTCAAGGACATTGCTGACCAAACTATACCCAAGTCCTCTGCGATTCCGCATATTCGTAAACCATGGTTTAAGAATGAATGTAAACAGGCCAGAAAGAGTAAGAAGAATGCAGAAAATATATTTTCACCGATATCCTACAGTCCATAATTTAGATATATCAAAAAATGTCTGGAAATGCTGCTAAATATTTTTGATACAATATGGACTTCAGGGAATTTCCCAACTTCCTGGCGTAATGCCATTGTAGTCCCCATTCCAAAACCTGGCCGGGATCACACTGATCCGTCTAATTACAGACCAATCTCTTTAACGATTTGTTTCTGTAAAACCATGGAACGAATGGTAAACAATAGGTTATATGGTATCTTGAAACAAAAAACCGTATAACTAATATTCAATGCGGTTTCAGGAAAAATCGTAGTACCATTGATAATTTGGTACGTTTAGAACCCTTTGTCAAAAATGCAATAGTTAATAAGCGACATGCAGTATCGATATTCTTTGATCTAGAGAAAGCATACCACCTGGAAGCATGGTATTTTAAATTATTTACATGATTTTGGTTTGAGGGGTCGTTTACCTCTTTTTATATCACAGGCAATTTCAAGTCCGAGTGGGTTCAACCCTGTCTGACAATTACAATCAGGATCAGGGTATCCCACAAGGCAGTACTTTGTCTGTAACGTTGTTTAGCACTAAGATCAACAGTTTATCGAAGGTTTTAAATAATGGATGAAGTTTTGTGGATGATTTTAATATTTCTTGTCGCTGTAAGAATATACATACTATTGAACGGCAACTGCAGTTATGTTTAAACAAAATAAATAAATGGTGTCTTGAAAACGGCTTTAAATTTTCGAAATCAAAAACTAATTGCATACATTTCTGCCATAAATATAAAGACCCAGAACACTCTGTTTTTAAATGGCACTCCCATTAAAGTTGTCAAGGAGGCCAAGTTCTTAGGTTTGATTTTCGACTCCCATTTCACTTTTCTTCTGCATATCAAATATCTCAAAAACAAATGTCTGAAGGCGTTTGACTTGTTGAAGGTCGTATCTAAATCAAAGTGGGGAGGGGATCAAGCTACCCTCCTTCACTTATATAGATCACTGGTCCGCTCCAAGCTTGATCGTATATGGTGAAGCCTGTAACAGCAACCTCAAACCATTAGATTCTGTCCACCACCAAGGTCTAAGACTTTGCCTTGGGTCCTTTAGAACATCTCCTGTTGACAGTCTCTACGTCGAGGCAGATGAACCATCTCTTGCACAACGCCGTATAAAATTATCAATACAATATATATAAAAATTATATTCTAAAGAATCTAACCCTGTTTTCAACTGTGTCTTCAATCCCCTCTATGAGGCTTTATACAACAAGAAATCTTCACTTGTTCCGCATCTTAGAATTAAACCATATATTTCTGCTGCTGGCATTGATCTTGAAACTATATCTCCGTCCCTTCTTCTTTCTTCTCCTCCTTGGCAATTGGTGAGGCCAGACGTTGACGTAACACTGACAAAGTTTAAAAAATCACAAACTAATGACTTACAATATAAACAAGAATTTAA